TTTTTTTTTTTGTTTTCTTATTTTTTCCTAGAGAAATTTATGTGTGCGATACATGGAATCATCGAATTTGTGTTTTTTCACCAGATTTTCGTTATGTTAACCGTCGTTGGTATTTAACACGATGGCAACAAACACATAAAGTTAAACCAAATTTTATTGCTATTAATCGAAGTAATGAGTGTGTTGTTACATGTGATGATGCACCAGATTATCGTGGTGCTGTTTATGTTTTTGATAAAATGGGTTATATAAAAAAAATTTATGATCATGAATCACGTAATAAACCTCCAAATGCTGAAGCAAAATTAAATGTTCCACATGGCATATTAGTTGATGATGAGGGTAATTGGTTAGCATTATGTTATTCAGATCCAGAATCATGTTGGATTGAAAGAAGATATAAACCACATCAACATGAAGATCATGAAATAATAACATATTGGCGAAATAAAGAATTAAAAGGTCCTAGTGCATTAGCTATTAAACGTGATCAAACATTGATTATTGGTGATCGAGATGAAAATGCAATTTGTTTTTTTAAACAAATCAAACCCAAGTGAAACTATCAATTTAAAACGAACAAAAAAAAAAAAGATTTAATAAACATATTGGGAAAATTTTTTTTCTTTTCATTGCTATGTATATTCATATATGTATGTCTTATAAAGCTTTTCTCAATTAATTAGCAGTTCTTTTTTTCTTTTGGTTGCTTGTGTTTCTAATCTTCTTCGTTTACCAATTTTCTGGTCGAGAAGTTCTTTATGTAATCAAAAGCATCGCACTATTTGGTTAAATAAATATTTTCGCATACTGGTACTACTTATTCTTGAAGAAGAATATAAAACAAACATCGTGTAATATATTACTTTCCTTTGCATAACAACATGTGATGATGATTCGCAAACAATAATATAATTAGATTACTAAAGTTTCTGTTGGTATTATATATTAGTTTTCCAATGTTTGTGTGAAACCATATTAATGAAAGACAATAGATTTATGTTACAAGGGATTCTGCTAGTACTTACTACGTAGAGATGAGAATCAATTGAGGGCTTGCTCATGAAGGATAACGTTGAGGTAGATAACGACATAATCTAACTCGTTTTACCTTACTCTTAATAGTTTTATCTTGATTTATGGCAAACACTCGGCTTCAACCCAATAATAGAACAACCCGTAAACCTTTGTCACCATATAAATCAAATCATGTTACCTCTTTTAATTCTCCAACTGCAAATATTAAAAGAAAGAGCTTTTTTTCTTCTTTTAAGGCATTCTTGCCCCCTCCCCTCAAAAATCGATCTCAGTCCAGGAAGATTCAAATGACATGAAATTTTCAGGATATGATGAGACTGTTGTGGAAAAGCTATGGTGAAATTTTTAGCCCGATATTATGACGTTTGAGGAAGATATTGGCCAAACAAGGGTCAAAAATAGCGAATTTAGCAACCCAAATTTCTCAATCCAGGTCCATGTGATGTATTTAAAGTTTTGTTTTTGTTTGAAAGAGTATGTTAGGATGCATGGCACCATACAGTCCTTTTTTTTTAAATTTTTACTTTTTAAGCGAAAAGAAGGAATCACAAGTTCTCAATAACTCAAAAAAATCCCTAAAAAATGGCGCTGTTTCTACAGAGGTGTTTTCTTATATTACTATAAAAAAAACTTATTTTAAAGCTAGATGGTATTCGAGTTTCGATTCGAATACCGAATGCGGTGCGAAGCACAAATCGCAAGTTTTCGAAAAAACGATATTTCGGAAAAAACGAATAATCGATTCTCGGATTAATGTCAAGTGCCGCGCAATATCTGACAGAACATTTACTATGTCATCTTATAATTCAATGCGTGCTTGAAAAATACTAAAGAAGTGAATCAGTTGTAACGAAACGTGCCTTCAAATAAAAAACAGGACAAGGTACAATCGTTGTGGAACAGCCTCATAGAACTGTAACCATTTTTTAAGTTGAGTTTCTTATATCTCTATTCATAAATGCATTTCAGTTCAAAGCTATTGCTCTATATCTTCTTTGAAATAGGATGTTCATGAAATTGGTAAAGGTAATTTTGGTATTTTTTATCGTGCAATCTACAAAGAAATTCGTCATGTTGTCATAAAAAGTTTACATGGTCAACGTGAAAAAAAGCATCAAAAGAGACTGCTGCTGATTATGATGCAAGTATGCATGAGTTATTTCATATAGCACATATAATGACACGTTTAAAACATGCAAATCTCTCACGTATCATTGGTGTCACATCTTTTGATGATAAACAACAATTGAGTTTAGTGGCAGATTTCATGAGAATTGGTTCATTATTAAATTATCTGCGAAAAAATCGAGAATCATATTTAGAATCCAATCCACGGGGTATTACAGTGAAATTAAATAGTTTTGCACGACAAATATTTGAAGCAATACTTTATTTGAAAGCATGAAAAATTATTCATGGAAATTCGACAGTACGAAATTATATAATTGATGAATGTGATACACTCAAAGTTGGAGATTTTAGTTTAACTATGCTAGTTTAGTTTTTATTTCTTAACAAAGTAAAAAGAGTCGTTTTCATTATAGATTAATTGAATGTGATTTATATAAACATACATATCGATCAGTTTAGTATGTGCTTCATGTTGGGTATTGCCTGAAGCTGTTTTTTTTGTCAAAATATGCAGAGTATAACTCTATGGAAGATCTATTCATTGAATGATTGACCGTTTGAAAACATGAGTAATTATGCTATACAAATTGTTCTAAGAAATTCTGCAGAAAATCTTAGTCATTGTCTGCCAAAATCACGACAATTTGCTTGTGATGAAACATATACACATATTATTCTTTTTTGTTTAAGATATAATGTTGTAATGCAACCATGTTTCAAAGATTTAAGAGAACATCTTGTAATTATTCTTCTCGATGACAGAGCTTAATAAAAAAAAACTTATTGCTTACGTAGACTTTAATTGAACTGATTTAACATTATGTATTTTAAGAGTATGTAATGAAACTGTGATGAAGTGAAAATATCTAATGTAAAGAAAAAGTACACTTTGTGCAAGATAATACATCAGTGTGAAAACATTTTTCAATAAAATGAAAAAATGTTTGAATATGTAAGAGATCATGGATTTAAAAGTAGAGTAGGAGAATCTAATAGTTAAATAATTTGTGATATAAATAGTTTCATTAATCTGTAGATCAAGACTAATCCTAGTAGTAACACCTCGTGTTTTAAGAATAATTGTTATGTCATGTTGAAGTGACAGATCTATGCGATTAACGTGAAACATTTTCTATTTTACTTTGTTATAATTGAAAATATTTCTGTATTATTTTCTTCGTTTTTAAGACCAGTTCATTTTGCTTATATTGTAAGACAATATAATTATTAAAATCTTTTTCAAATTGTTATCAAATAACTCTGTAACAATTTCATTAGTTGATTAAACATCAAATGATAATTAAGTATGAATAATTTTGTTAATCGACTATTATTATTTGTTGATGTTACTAATTATGTCTATAATTCAGCATTTATTGTTGTTGATATCATTAAGATTAACACAGAAATTGTTGCTCGTATTCTGCAACGTTATCACTATTTGCATTCAGTTTCAATAAAGAATTAAATGAAACAAATAACTAAAGTAGATTTACTAATGAATCAACTCTTGGTATTGTGTTAGAATCAGTAATCACTGGAATAACAATAAGAATATGCGTATTTAGATCACTAAAATAATTAAATGGAAACAGAAATTCTATAAATAAAAGTCAATATTCAGTTTCGATGATTCTTGATTATTGTCGTGTTATATTGATAAAATAATATTTCATGAAACAAGTAATTCCATTGTAATTTCCTGTATTCAGAGTTAGAGCATTATTTAAAGATAACACTTCTGTCACTAGTTACCATCATATTTTTATTTTATCAATAAACTTAAACAAGATAAGATCTCGAATCCGTTTTTCGAGAGAAATTCAAATCGAAATATAGAGTGAAAGTGATGTTTGTAAAGAAAAGATCCAATTCAATTTCACACAATAAAATTCTTACACTTTATAAAAAAATTTATTGCAAGATACAATTAAAACCAAGGTATAACACTAATAACGAAATATAAATTATTCTACAGGATATCTGGAAAGTAGATCCCTATTTTAAATTCTTTTTTCTCTTTAATAAGAACAGATATTATGTTACTTTTTTTTTACTACTTTGAAGCATGTTTTATGAGGTTTTATTTTACATAAGAAAGAATGTTAATGAATTGACTATGTAAGATCAAGCGCAAATTTCATCTGAAGGATGCTTGAAAAATAACTTCTTATTTTTCATCGTTTATTACTTTTATACAAAGCATATATTGTAATAATTTTTTTCTATTTTGAGGTGTGTGTAATAGGTTTACCCGATAATGTCTGAAAAATAGCCGTGACAGTATTGCATTTGAAACCCATGAAAAAATTATTACAATATATATACTTTGTATAAAAGTAATAAACGATGAAAAATAAGAAGTTATTTTTCAAGCATTTTTCAGATGAAATTTGCGTTTGATCTTACATAGTCAATTCATTAACATTCTTTCTTGTGTAAAACAAAACTTCTTAAAGCATGCTTCAAAATAGTAAAAAAAGTAACACAATATCTATTCTTATTAAAGAGAAAAAAAGAATTTAAAATAGGGATCTACTTTCCAGACACCCTGTATATAAATTAGATATAGAAAAAAAAACCTACAATTAGCATTGAATCTATAGTGAATATAAAAAATATTGCTTTTTGGATTCTTTTCTCCACAACTACGATGAATCTATTAAAAGCCTTAAGTAAGTGATAAAGTAACTGTTTATTGACTTCCTAATCTAGCTCAACTCTGTTATAAAAGAAAAAATAATTTGCCAATTTTACATAATCTACAAAAGTTGAATTAGTAGCTAAGAATGTGCACATGAAAAACAGACATGTCCATAGCAATTGCAAATTTATCTGTGCCTTAATAACATTCAACAGATGTTTCGAAAATTTAAAAATTTGAAAGTTCGAGTACTCAAGTTTTAAATTCAAAAGTTGAATCCTTTATAATTCCAAGACAATGTGTCACATTCGTAACAACTCTTCGACTTCTACATATATGAAGTAGAAGATGATTTTCACAATAAACATATGCGCATATTTTTTATTCGATAAATTTATCGAGGACGAAGAAACAACAGAATAAAATATTCCCATAATAAAGACCATAAATTTGTTCGTTCTTTCCAACAAAGAAGATAAACATTTATATGTAAAATAGAATAAGTATGACGAAGGAGAGAATGATCAACGTATACATGAAAGAAAACTTAGACTCGATGTACTGACCGTCTACAGTCTGTTCTGTTTAAAAAAAACGTGCTGATCCAATATTCGTTTTATTTTCGCACTATTGAGATGCAAACGACAGTATTTATACCATGCATCGTAAAACGAATAAATTTTGTTTTAGAAATTGTCCTAAACATCAATCTCCTCCATGTCATTTCGATTTTCAATTGAACGACAA